AAATAGTAAAGCTAAGAATTTTCCACAAATTCTTTGAGGATTTTCCAGAATTAGAAATGAGAGAAGAGAGATCAAAGAACACAAATGAGTTAAATCAAAATTTATGTGAGCAAATTCTGTTTCTAAAAGACAAAAGACTCATAAATTGGCTACTTAAAATCCAACTACATGCCATTAACAAGAAACATTCCTAATGGCAGAGAAAAGACACAAACAAAAGAACTCCACTGAGTCCATCAAATGTGGCCGCAGTAGTAATAGACATCCAAACAAAGAATTCAGCCACTGATAAAGCTAAATGTAGGCTAGTGTGCAGCCCTTGCTAATGCAAATTGCTGCTGGTTCTCCCTCTTAATGGGTATTGAAGAAAACATATATGCCAAATCAGTAGTCTCATGCCACATACCAAAAAGTGTACTAATTTTTTGTAATAAAGATACTGTACCTAACACAAGCTTTGTAATTAGGACAATTACTTTATTAATGAGTAGTAGTATATTATTGTACCAGTTAAGGTAGCCAGATTAGTACGTGAAATGGGAATCCGTTGCGGTTTGCCATTCATGTACCCTTAAATTTTTCAGACTAGCACAAGATCTGCCATTCCCTCAATGTATGTTCTTGGCTTCGAACGGACGTTTCAGGGGTTTCACTTGGCCTCTCCTACTTTAATAGCTCTTATTCTTCAGTTTCTCAGAACAAGTGTAAAGGTTAAGAATAGCCATATAATTATATATTTGGAAGGAGGAACTATCACAGTGGACCACTGTGATATAGACGTTAGCCAGGACTCCATTATCTGACTCTGTTTCTATTCTAATAGAGGAGACCATAGGGTCACTTTGGGTCCCAAAGAATCAGTGTCAGCTTAGAATTTGTATCCCACATGTTCAGAAAAAATGTGGAAAACGAGCAAAAAAATACAAGGGTTACAGAATAAAATTGATATCAGGTTCTGACATATTTTTTAACATAAAATAAGCAAACTACAAAGAAGTATTACTGTATTTTATTACATTATTAAAAAAATTCTAAGTTGATATCATTCATAGAAAGGTAAAAGGTAGACCATAAGTGGGCATATAATTGGTCTCTTTGTAAAATTGCCAGTTTATTCCTACAGCTTTATCTACACAAAGGCATGTAATATGTGCAATTTATTTCCTGTTTTTAAAGATGTAATTTTATCCTAACAAAAATTCTCAAATCTGTGTTTCTCCATTTCATATAAAGGAAATTAATGGTTTCTTAAAATGTAACTGAATTTGTCTGAACAGTATGCATGTGAAGCTGTAAAAATTTTTCTCTTTACAAGATTAATTTTAATATCTATATGAAACAAACACAGATTTGCCTTTTAATGAGCTGAATTTCTACATGGTTTAAATAAAAAGTTTCTATCGCATTACTAAAAAATGTCACACAAAACATTAATACATGAAGTATTAGCAACACATCATAAACAAACCATTCAAGCATATTTTAATTATATAAAATGCAGATCTATTTACTCAAGTGATACAGTAATTTATATTTTAGAGGGAGCACTGATACAGAAGTAAAAACCTAAATACTCATAGCTTAAAACCACAAATAGTTATTCTAACAAAGAAAAGTTACAAACATAAATCACATAAAAATGATGTGCTTGATTTAACTTTTACTTACAACATCAGTAATCATCCATTATCATTATACATATTAAAGATTTAAGGCACAAGAAAAAACAATGAAGCAAAAATATCAAAAAGTTTTCTCCAAACATCTAAAATTGATTACATACCGCCTTTCCTCTTCCCACCTCTCATGACATTTATGACAACACCACAAACACTCAAACTGTGGTTTTCACTGATGACACTACAGAGAATTCATTTGGTCCCATTGATAGTGCAAAGCTAAGTCATACAGCCAAATCACAAGTCAAAGGAGCTTGGTTAGAGACCTCCTAACTTTATAAATAGTTTATGTTTATCCTGACTTTTTAAAGTTTTTTCCCAATTACTCATATCTGAGAGTATGCTATGCCTCTTCAAAAACATTACCTTTCTCCTCATCTACAGCCCCCATCTGAGTCATTAGACTTCTTCGTAGAATATAACACAAATTTCACATAGTAAGAACAAAAACCAAACCCATCTAGACAGCAGAATATTTTCTGAAAAGCAAAAACTTGACATAATTTATAAAAATGATATTTAATACAAAGAACCGTAGGTGTTCATTGCCTTTAAAAAAGAGATTAAACTTTAAAAATAATGGCTCGATTGAATGATTCCATTCATACAAGGAAGTTAAAACTCCTGCACATAACTTAGCCTAATCGGCCAATCAGCCATCATTTGCTCTATCTGTAATGAACCTGGCCCCTTGGTACCAAAGAAGTCCTCTCTATACTCATGTCATTCATACACACATTCAAAAGCAGTACAAACTTTGACAGAGCCTATGTTGGTATAAAATATTCTGTACCTAGAATATACGGTATTTGAGGTTGATGACAAAGTACCGTTATTACTTCAAGAAAACAAGATTTTATATATCCCATCTATATAGACAATATAAGATTTTATATATGGAATCTATATATAAAATGCACATATAGTCTACATAAGATATATATGTGTGTGTGTCAGAATATATATTATATATTTTCACACTCCTAGAATAAATTTTTCACAAAAATGTTGGTAGTTTTCTTATTTTAAGGAGAGTTTTTAGTCTCTTAACATCTTCAGGAACCAAGTTTTAAAGCACCATGATTTACATCATCCTCCAGCATCTCCTCTCCATGTGATTTTATGCATTGCTTCTCCCAGAAGAGCCAAAAAAATCTTATTCTATTAATAGCCTGTGCCCAAGGAGGTCTTTTTCAGTGTTTTAAAGTGTAAAGTGCATCAGGGTAAGTATTTGAATATGGATATAGGTATATCTATAAATTCTATTTCTGCTCAGATTGGCAACAGTTCAGATGTGATGTTTTCTGTTTATCTGCTAACCTTTTTCTAAAACTTTGCTTTTGCTACTTATTGAGCACAAAGAGAAAGTACAGAGATGATTATTCAAGAGAGCCAGTTAACAAGATAAAGATGTCTTCCAGTCATGCCGTGATCATGATTTTAAATAGAAGTTTCCTGGGTGACTGGACTTTATCCTTTGTGTAGAAGGTTACTCAGTGCAACTGTTAAGGGTATTGGTTTATGAGTTATGAGCTGGAAGAATTAGCATGAATAATGCCATATTAGTATGGTTTCACCATCGCGTCTCTAAGCAACATATACATGGGCCAGTGCTGTCTTTATACACCATATCAGGAACAAACACTTAGAACAAGCATAAGAGTCTCATTTGCTTCCTATGAATCTACATTCTAATATTCACATGCACACACACAGAAATAACATTTTTTTAAGTGCCTTGATAAACAAAAAATCCTCTTATGGTCAAAGAGAAAAATAGTGAATAAAAACTACCCTAGAGTCATCATATTAAGTTTGGTAGCTAGAAGTCCATAGACAGTCACCAGCTATTTTAACAGAAGCTATACCAAGTAGAACATCCTGAGCATGAAAATGACTTTAGCTAAAATCTTTATTTGCTGTGCAAAATTCCTATTTTCCAATTCAATGAATATACCAGCTATTTACTAATGTCTTCAAGGCCATTTGTTTCAGAAAGTAGTTCCACAAAATTCAAAGTATAAAATCTACACATATGTGTGTGTATGCATGTTATTTATAGCATGACAGAGAACTGGCATCTTAAAGAAAGCATATGATTTGCTGCACCACATAAAAGCTACATGAGTCTATCGTAGACCCTCTATAAAGCAATGCTGAATCCTAACCAAGATTTGTTCTTCTCACTCATATAAATTGTCTCCAAATCTGTCAGCAAGTCTCATTTCATTTGTAGAGTTAGTCTATATCATGCAGAAAATGTCCACATTGGGAAGGTCAATTTACTTTCATTATTTATGTTCAAGTCATCTCCAAAATGTGGTTCACAATTTTAGTCCCCTGGGACTGACTAGTCTCTTCCCTGGGTAGACAACATAATCCATTCATGCTTTTTTTCTCCAGTAATATTTATTTTTCCAAGTGCTTTAAAGTGATTAGACGTCCATTCCCTCAAGTTAGATTACAATTCTGTCTTGCCAACAGGTGGTAAAATATGTAGGGACAAGATAACCCCCATGTTTCAAATTCTTTGCTCACCACCCTCCTAACATACACTTAATTTTTTTACTCATGCAAAATAACATTGAGCTTCATTAAGATGACCTCTTGAGGTCCTCAAGAACTTTTAAAATGAAGGAAAGGAGGAAAAGGCAAGACAAAAATACCTTTATTAAAGAAAGAAGAGTGAAAAACAATCTTCATTCAAGGAAACAGAATCACCTGTCAATTTAGTCCTAATTTCTCATATCTAATTTCTTCCTCATTATAAACTGTTTAAATTCATTAATCCCTAGCCTGGCAACAGCTTGGAAATTTAATGTTAAAATACCAGGTGGTCGAGCTCCCTTTCAACACAAGACAGTTGTTTAGACCCTGAAGTGCTTTCTATTCCCCCATTTGGGAAAATAAAATCATAGAACCCTACTAGCAGAAAGCACAATCTAGATTTTGTACAAGAAATATAGTACCCTATTTGTAATTCATCCTCCCAGTTTAATATGTCATTATACCATTCTTTCCAATACTGTTACAGTATAGTCTCTGTTAGTACTTCCTATTTGTGGAATATATTAAAATACCTGCTAGAGAAAGCACATCTGTTTTCTATAGTTTTATTAAGTGTTTCATATAACTACATTCATTTCAAGTGCTTTTTTAATGAAACCGGGAGGGGTAAAAATCATTTTAAATTATGATTAATAATGAATTTTATGAAAGTACAGAAGTTAACATTTCAAATGTATAATTTCTACATAATTAACAAAATAGTCTATGAGAAAAATATAGTATTTTTACATTTAAGAATGGCATCCTCTTTTCAAAATTAAAAAAAGAAAAAGAAAACTCACTTACAGTGGTGTTTTCCTCATATACACCTAGCAAGGTAATTGTGAGTTAATTTAATAAGCTCACAAAACTGTAATCAGGAACAGGTTTCATTACGGCAATTTTAAAACTCGTTTCAATAACTCTTTATCAAGCAGATTGAAATGACATGAAATCTGCTCAAAAGTCTAAACATAAACAGCCATGAAAACAAATATTTTCTGTTATCTCTTGGGACAAAAATATGACATGCCCAATAATAATAAGGCAAAAAGCAAGTAAAGCTGAGCAGTGACCAACATCTCACACAGCCAACCTTTTCCTTTCTCTTATACTATCTGCTTGATTAAAAAAAAAAAAAACTGGAGATAATTCAAATTTTTAGAATAGTCAGTACTGAGTTTACTAACATAACAGCACAGGAAAGAAGAAAGGGATATTGTTGATGAAGTTAAAATGGATTGGTGAAAATCCATAGGATCCTGGCTTGGCAACCCACCACCTGGGCTCAGTAATGACATCAGTTATTCCCTTGTGACACCTTCCTCAGTGTGTGTCCCCCAAAGTGCTGGAGGGAGTACCACAGTATCAGTCACTAGAACATGGAATGAATGCTTCCTCTTTCCAAAATGAGTGCCTTGTGCTGTCTTTTTCATTGTTTCAAAGCAGATTTTGGCTGAGAAGGAAGACAGAAAGGATTGTCTACAAGTCCTGGAAACATTTCAACAAACTCTTGCCATCTCCAAATTATCTCTGAAACTAACATACAAATTTTTATTCAAGAGTTTATTGCTTAAAAAATATATATAATACATGCTTTCCTATCACCACATCTTTAAAATCCTATGCCTTCTTAGATAAGTGCTTTTAAATAAACTGCCACTTAATTCATTTCTAGAGTTATAAGAAAATACATAATAAAACTATCCTATTATTTTTCATCCTTTACAAAGAGAAGTAGCCCATTGGCTCCCAGTGCAAATTCTCCTCCATGCTTCTTAATTTTTCTAAATTACACTTTAAAACACTTCCCATCACCAGCAGTCTCCTTAGACGCTATTCAGAATTATCTAGTCTTTCCATTAGGCCTCGAATTTTACAATTCAATTGGTAGTCTCACCCCTATTGTCACATTATGTTTAGCAATAACTATAGACTTCATATTCAAGTATTATACCCTTCATTTTTCTTATCATCAATATACTCTTTTCAAAATCCACCTATGCTACAACAGCATAGTCCTTGTTCTGCTCGTTGTTATCATTTTCTTGGGGGCTGGTGATTTTCACTTCTGGTCTTAGTGGTCGTTGTGAGTCTGAATCAGCCTGGAGGAAAATGAAGACAGGCAACAAAATTTAGTTTACAAAGGCAACAAAATTTAATCATATCAATATTCCACTAGAGGCTGCTTCTTGGGTTCCCTTTGGTTTTTAGTCCACCAATACCCAATGGACACATGTTTCTTAGTCTGTAGTTGTGCATAAACCCATCCTGGGGCCATAATCCTCTGTGAGCTTTCCCAAGCACAGCCCCACTTCTTGAGCCACAGGCTTTATTTTTCTTCTTTTTTTCAAACTTATTTACCACTGAGCTTTTTCGTTTCAACAGCTTATTTATACTTTTCCATTTTTGCATGTTCAAAGAAAAGGGAAGAGACAAACTCAGTCAAGTCACATTAACCCATCCTATAACAGATGCGCTCCTCTTTGTTTTTGACTACAGTTCACAATTTTGTGTGTGATTTGATACCAATCACCACCGTGTATCACTTAGCCACGATCAGGACAGAAAATCAAAGCAGAGAGGCAGCATTTCTCCAATGGCAATAATTGTCCCTGACCTGGGACTCCTCAGAAGTTATTGATATACTGTCTCACTTACAATTTGTATTGCCCCACTTGACTAAAAACTACAGGAGTGAGATGAGAATTGCTGTTTTTCAGATTCTGTTCCACAGCCCCCATGATGTCCACTAGGGTGAGAGACAACAGGACTAGCTCTAGGCGCCTCCACACTGGCCACAGTTTATCATTTCGCATGGTTAGCTCATGAAGTGTCTGCCATAGTATCATCCTTGAGTAAAATACAAGCTCATTGTCGGTTGGTCTTTATGCATTTGTCATGTAGTTCCTGCAATTTTCCTACAATCATATCATATTTTCCCACAGACTGTTATAAAGAGCAAAAGATTACATGGAAAACTGAATCTTTGTTCATTGTTATAAGGAAAGGGCCCTTTTGCAAAAACTACTTATTAATATCTAATTTATAGTTCACAGAGATCTGGTTTTATATCTATTTGGTACCTGTAACATGTATTTATACTAATGCTTTGGAGAGAATGGAAATAAAATGTACTATCATGATGACAGGTGAGTTGAATAAGAGTAAATATATCTTCTAGCTAACTGTTCAATTTGAGGAACAGTTCTTAAAATCCCTAATTAGTCATACATTGGGCACTGTTCACTTGAATTCCCAATAATTTACATTTGCTTTCCACAGATCTCACAAACATCTGTACTTCAAAGTACAGAACCTTAATTTTGAATGATGTCCAATTCCTATGACAAGCTTATTTTTAAGATGTGTTCATGGAGGAGAGAAAGGCAGCCAATGTACTTATGTCCATAAAATCTGATTAGGTGATAACACTGGAAAAAGATACAGTAGGAAAATTCTTACCTCGATCTTACTAGCTGGGTCCCACCTAGAATTTACACCAGCTGCAAGCCACAAATGTTTATCAAAGGCTACCTGACAAAATTTCACTCCTAGGTGCCCACCCAACGGACACAAAACCATTAATTCCAAAGGTCACCTTTGTTTATTGCAGCACTATTTAAAATAGGTAAGCTATGGAAACAACCCAAATACCCCAAATAGATGACTGGATCAAGAAGATGTGGTGTATATACACAGTGGAATACTACTCAGCAATCAAAAAGGATAAACTCATGCCATTCGTGGCATCATGGATAGAGCTGGAAGGGATCATGCTCAGTGAAATAAGCCAGAAAGAAAAAGAAAAATGCCAGATGGTTCTGGGAATTTCCAAGGGACTACAACTGAGATGGAAAAGCATACATTGTACAAAAATGAAGAATGGTGTAAAAAATGTAGCAAGAAAGACTTAACATGGCAATAAACCTGACCCATAAAAAAATAAATAAATAAACAAGCTCACCAAAGGGCTTCAGAAGCCTACACAGCAGTTGTCACCTTGGTGACACTGTGAACTCTTCTGCTTCCCACATGCTTTCCCAAATAGGAGATTTTGTTTCTCCTGAGAAACTTCTTTGCTTTTTGCCTTCCTTGATAAATTAATTTTGCTTCTTTATTAAAGAAAAGGCAAGTATGTAACTGTTTTTTTTTTCTTAATTTCAACTACAAACAACTTCAGGATACACATGTTAGCTAATATTTAAAGAACTGTGTAGAACTACAAATGGGGAATCTCTTATTTAACAGGACTGTGATGATCTTATCTTGAGAAAAGATGAGAAGAGAGGGATTTTGAGAGTCTCCATTTAAATGTTAAAAATGCATTTTTCTTTAAACATTTTTCACTACAGTGGATCACAGATAATGTACTAGGTATTGACACCTGGCCCCAAGAATAATTTGTATCTTGTCATTACTAAACTTGGTTTCTCTAAAAGAAAAATAATAATAAAACAGATGAGTCAATAACAACTAATCACAAAGACCCCAACATCACAGTGGGTATCAGGAAAGAGTGGACCCCACAGCGCTGCAAAGCCTGCCCCCTTGAGCCCGGTGGACAGACAGGCAGAAATGCAGACTTGGGAGATGAGAATGCTGAGGAGCACCTTGCTCCTCGCTCTCTGAGAGGCAACCTGCCAGCCATTGCCTGCCATTCCCCAGCACGTAACTCACTCAGTCCCACGGAACCTCGTGTGTCCCATGGGAAAATACCAGGGTAACGTGGTTGTATGCTCCAGGGCTAGTGGTAGGAAAACAGGCCAGGAAGGAGGCCTCAGCACATGTCTGTATTCTCTCTCTTTATTAAAACTACGCATTATTGAGTTCCAAGTGTGCTGATTGCAAGCAAGCCATGCAAAGTGGACTAAACACACTAAACTTTAATATATCTAGAGAGCACAGACCATAGTAGAGATAAAGTTCTTGATAGAATAGCAAGATATAACGAGTCTAGATATTTTTTCCTAGTTTGTATCTTCCCTAGTGTTATTTGTATTTATTTATATTTCTCTCTGTGTTGTTATATATGTTCTTAGGAACTTTTGCAGATTTTTGCTAGAATAAAGAAGGAGATGGAAGGATGGGGGGATGGATGCATGGGAGGATGGATGAAAAGCAGACTTGTGGACTCCCAGAGAGGTGGGTGATAGTACTTGTTAACTGACTGCAGCACCACGGTCAATAAATACTATTGAATCCTTTTCTAATCAGTCATAAGCGGTTTCAGTTCAAGTCCTGGGTGCTTGGACAATTCCCTAAGTGTGTATTCCTGCACACACCCACAACACACACATTCATATAGATACACCCACAACACACACATTCACATAGATACATGCACCACAAAACACATTCATGTATGCAAAAGCAATAGAAATACCTCATCTTGCCCATGGCCAGCTTCTGGAGCATTTTTTCCCTCATTTACTGACTCGAGAACCTCATTATTAACCTGGTCCAGTTCCTCGCCATTTTCTTCGTTGGTGCCTCCGCTGACCCGAGCAGGACCTGCTTGCTCCTGGCTGAGATCTGTGGTCTCCTCAGCTTGCTCCGGAGCATCTGTCATCTCCTCACCTCCTTTCTCTTCAACTTCACCATTCATCCCTGAGAAGTCTTCTTTCTCTTTGACATCCTTTTTCTCTTTCCCTTCTTCTTCTTCTTCAACAACTATTTCTGCTGGCCTCTGGTGGATCCAAAGGAGAAATGGATAAAAATAGGAAGTACAGCAGAGATTTTTCCATTGCCTATGACAATGATGTAATTTTTCTATTACAGTCAAGTAAAACTTCTTTACATTACAGTCTATCTGCATTAACGTTTATTTAGTAGCTACCACATGCCACTCTTTATAAGTATTTCTTCATTTAATCCTTACAACAGTCCTGTGAGATGAGTATTACTCACATTTGGGGGAAGGGGATTTTAGTTAATTAATTTTTTTAAATATATTACATTACCCTTCATTTTTGTACAGTATGACTTCCCTGTGAAATTCCCATTGCCAATTCACCCTTGTACCATCATCATAGTCCCTTGTGCTCTTCCCATGCCTGCCCTCATTCTTCTCTCGCCTCCTCCCTTACAGAATGTCTTTGATCTAGAGTTTCCTGATGATTTTGATTTGTACTTGATTATAGTTACATTTTCCCCCTTCACCCCTTATTTTGGTTCCTCGACATTCCTCCTGTAAGTAGGACCATGCAATAGTTATCTTTTTATTTCTGACCTATTTCACTGAGCATAACCCATTCTAGGTCCACCCATGTTGCTGCAAAAGGGCAAGTGTTTCTCCTTTTTGACTGCTGAGTAATATCCCATTGTGTAACTATCGATCCAGTCTTCTATTTTTGGGCATTTGGGTTGCTTCCATAGCTTAATTATTAATTAATTGTGCCAAAAACTAAGACCGAGAGAGAGTAAGTGTCTAGTCCATTATCCCACTGTTGGTAAGTTGGAGGAGCCAGAATTAGAACCAAGCATCTGACTCTAGAATCGATGTTCTCCATCCCCATGGCAGACAAGAAAACAAAGTCAATCTCTTTGGTCAAAGTCTTTTAGAGTATCTGATCCAGAAGCGACAGTTTATAAAAGTTTTGAGGAGCAATTATCCTCACAGCTAGGGCCTGCTTTATATCTCTAAATAAAGAAAAGGAAAATGGTGAAGTCATTAAGATGTAAACTCAGTTTTCTGAAATAAACTGTTGACCGCTTCCATGAGACACCAAAGACAGGTGACAATGTGTATTTCTCTAAATTCAAAATTTGATCAGGCAGGCAGATCCAAGGCCAAGAAACTCTAGGTCCTTTCTGCAAAAATAACAAATGCTCAAATATTTTATAAATACTAGTTAGATATTTTTTTACAAGTCTGCTTTTTCAAGTTGCTTTGAAAAGAGCACAGACAGTTGAGTTCTGGCGCTAAGACTTTGGAAAAAGGCCTGTGTTCAAGTCCTAAAGAGGAACTCACTATGATCTGATCAGCGAGTTTCAGATACCCTGCTTATGAAATGGGAAGGTAATAAAATTTCCTGTGGGGGTTAAATAAGTAATATAGAGAGCCTGATATAGTATTTGGCACATCAGGGTCCTACAAGGAAAACAAACATTAAACTCCCTTACCATTTGTTATGATAGATTCTTTCCTGGAACAATCATATTTCCTCATTGCTCCCTATTATGGTACAATAGGGTTTTTTAAAGGATAGGATAGAAATCACAAAGGATTCTATGTTCCACAATAGCATCCCACACCTGCCTCCTCTTTGCTGACATTGAAAAAGGCACCCTGTCTCCCGCAACTGTAAAATGATGTTTGAGATGTCATCAATACCCTTGCAGTTCTGAAAGTCTACCACCTCCCAATGTCCAAACACTGTTATGTGTCGATTAAAGCTAACATAATGTTCAGATGGCTGAGAAAAGGCAGAGGGGGGTGGGTGACAGAGGAGGGGCCCACATGCTGAGAGTCATCATCTGTGCCAGATGTAGCTCTCCCACTTATGAAGGTTTTCCCTGTCACCCTTACAGTACATTCATGAAGGACATGTCTTATGCATGTTGTACAAACAAGGAAAAGGAGAAATCGCCCCGAGCTTTTTCCTCTCATCTTCAATTTTTAATGTTTACATTGTAAGGCCTTTATTTAAAATATATGACCATGAATCTTTAGATATGTGATAATTTGGGAACTTTTTTAGTAACTTTTTTTTTTAGTTACAGTGGTTTACAGCACTGTATATGACTTGGAGGAACAGGGAACAGGCTCACCCTCTCAGATATAGAGTACCACATCAAATCTACCACCAAGCCACCCCTAATTCTCTACCATAGTCTAATGGGCCTCCTCTTCCCCTTTATTGCAATCCTTCAAATAGACTCGGTTCTATAGTCAGGTTTCTAGTTTTGGTTTGGTTGAGACTTGCTAGTTCCTTCATTATGTTTTCTCCATACCAAACATATGACTGAAATCATATCATTTTGTCTTTCTTCTTTGGAGTGAATTCACTAAGTACGATCCCCTCTAGGTCCATCCGTGCTGTCACAGATGGCAAGATTCTACCCTTTTTATAGCTGAATAGTATTCCATTGGGTACAGATGCCACTCTTCAACATTTGTCTGTCATTGAACACTTTGATATCACACAGAGGGTTCACAGTAGGGCTAGGACTGTAATCTAGTATCATCATGTCCCAACGTCCAAACAGCCTTTCACAGAGAGAAAACATAGAAGTAACTGCTTCAGGCCCCCACAGGTGGCGCAGCGGGTTAAAGCACTGCACTAAGAAGCTAAAGCCACTTCCGCATGAGTTCTATCCCCGCCTGCCCCGGAGGTGACCACATGACGAGGCAGACCTCTCCTGACCCACCCACTGCTCCCCTCAATAGTGTACTTTGTCGATGTGCCTGTTCTGCTCCCTGCTCTGTCTCTGGTGAATCCTCTCACCCTCCGCATCTCTGGCCTGTACCCCAGTTCTGTACGAATAAATAAATAAATCTTTAAAAAAAAAAAGAACAGAATTCTTGTTAAATTTTGCCTGAGAATTGGATGATTTTATATCACTCTTAAATTACTGTGATTATTATTTGGCTAAAGTTGTCAGAGCAACTTTTAGTAGCACTTCTTATTACAAAAATTAGTAATACTGCAAGAGAAAAGATATAATTTAATCTTTCAGGAGTCTAGACAATATCCTTGCCTCTTTTAGAAGGTATCGTTAGCATGCACTAAACCCTGTTAAGTGAGGAACAGTGTTTCCCTTTACTGATATCTGGCATCATACCTAAAAGTCACAAAATGATTGCATGTTGAACTTGAAATTTGTATTTGTCATGTTTCTTTACTCTCAATTCCAAACACATGCACACATTTTTTTCTCCTGTAATGCAAAGATTTAGTGAAATACCCAAGTCCCTCTTTGAAGAAAGAAACACTCAGCCCTAAATTAGGGCTCTGTTCTCCTCACCATTTATCACCAGCGTTACTAACAAGCAGTGTTATGCTTTCATCCTGTTATCTCTAGCAAACTCCCAGTCCAGTGATTTTAGTAGTCATCAGATGAAGCCACATCTGGTCAGCTCCACATTAAGGAATACAAGATTATGGGAATGAAATACCAATTTGCTCACTTTTAAATAAGACAGTAACATTAGTTAAAAGGCTTATAATCCTCTATAATATCCTGAATGTAGAACAAAATTTATTATTACGGCAATTCAGGGCCAAAAAAAAAAAATTACTGCTATGACAGATCTGTAATGAATAAATGAAAAGCAATGCGCCTTTTGGTGTAATCTCCTTTGAAGCAGGCGTTAAATTATTAAAGATGTTTCCAGTGTATACATCAATCAGATCATCCCCAGGAGGAACACTGGGTTTTACACCCATACACATTCACATAGATAAAATCTATAGCATGATGACGAGGGCCTGCAAGGAAGCAAAGGGGGAATTCTTTCTACAAGAAGGTATGGGATCATGACGGGAGAGAGCTAATTCTTCTGCATAAAAGAAAATACGAGAAGCTAAGTGAGCAAGTTGCAATGTCCCCCTCCCTTTCTCTTGCTACAGAAAAACTATCAAAGCGAAATCTGAGACCCCTCACATAACTAACTCAAAACTCACATTCAGCCCTGACGGTAGGACTCCCAGAAAGCAGAATTTATACAGGCAAATGGGATTCTCAGGAGGTCACAGGCAGGACCACAGCTTCTGTCCTCTCAAAGCCAGCACAGCTCTGTCTCAGCAGTTAGATCTTGAGCTGAAGAGCTGTCCACAAAGTTGCAAACAATAAGTCACACGTTGTATGAGTTCATTTGTATGAAGCATTCAGGACAGGCCTTAGAGACAGAAAGCAGATTTGAGGTGGCCAGGGCTGGGAGAGAGGTGATTGGGGTGTGGCTCTTTAACAGGTATGAGATTTCCTGTTGGGATCATGAAAATGTCTCAGAACTAGACAGAGACGGTAGTTGCACAAAGCAGAAAATGTGTCAGTGGCTGGTAGCCACCCACTCCTCTTCCTTGCCCTATTCATCCCTGCTGGGATCCTGTTTCTTTTCTTGCAGACAAAACTACAGAGATCTAGACCAGACCAGCTGAGATCAAGATAGGGGTAGAATAAGACAATGGCCAAGCCACAGCTTCATTGCCATGGTAAAAAGCACACCCATCAGCACTGGAAACAGATCCATCAAGACCAAGCAGGGGAAAGGGAGCGAATACAGTGTCTGGAAATCCCAGCCTGTGTTTCTGAAATCCTGCTCAGACCGACCCTTCAACCCCTTTTATGTCTTTAATTCCTGCTTCTCCTCAGTTCAGGGAGACAGCAGTCCGCCATATCCTTAGGCTGCTGGTCCCTGATTAAACCCGAATTCTTCCCACCACCTCGTCTCTAGAGTTTCGGCTTATGAGGGGCTTGGAGCGAGACCCAAACTCCTATAACAAGTGTATGAAATTGTAACAGTGTGGTCCCTAGGAAAAGGGGAAGTTCCAGGTTCTCTGCCTGACCCAGGAGGATGGAGCTGAGCAGAGAAAAAGGAGGGAAGAGAAGGAAGCAAGAGACAAGAGAAGAAGAGAAGGAAGCAGGATGGAGAACAAGAAGGAGACCTGAGCATGTGATAAAGAAACCGGGCTTATTTCCTGGCCCTGGACTGGCTAAGGCAGATGTGGGTGAGAGACCTGTAGG